TAACCCTTAAAGTGTTAATAAAAAATGATGATATTGAATTCTTAAATACTGATAAAACATTACTAAATACTAATATATTAAGTTCAATATTTAAAACAACTATGATTATTGTAAAAAAAATCATTTAAGACCAATAATTTTGAAGTCAAAAGACCAAAAATATAATTTTTAAAGTTGAGAGATCAAACTAAAACCTTACGTAAAGTTAAAGAACCAAGTGTATATTTTAGCATATGAAAAACACACCCTTTTAAAACCCGTCCTACCAAATCATCAACATCCAAATTAATTTGTTCTTTTTTTTGGTAAACACGGAGAGATTATTTAATAAGTGCTCGCCTTGTAACTTGAATGAACAGTGTATTTGAATTTATAGAGCTGTCATGATGCATGATATGGCAGCGCACAATACCATATTGAAATGGAATGAAGCATAATGAAAATCGATGTAGCCAGCCATCGATAACATATGCTGTGGAAATAAAAGATGATCCGGACCGTCTGAGCACTGATAGCCTCAACGAAGACCAAACACCACACAGCCCCACCGCCAACTAGCTCCCTTTAATGCGTTTAGTGTATGACACTTATCACGGGGAATTTGGAAAGAAACTGGTGCTTGTCACAACCAGTTTCCTCGAGCTGATTTCCTTTATTACAACCCGTGAACGCCGACTTTAATGAACCATAACTTGCGTGCTAGCGTTTTTTTCAAAAATATAATTAACTTGTTTTTATTTAATTTTATGAAAAATTAACTCATTTTTCATTTTCACTTTTATCCACAACTAGCGTCAAACGCCTTCGCGCTTCCATGCGCAATTATTGAGTGCACATTAACCGCCACACAACAAAAAATTTGGAAAGAAATCATTAAAACTATAAAACATCATCCTATATTTTGCACAAGCATTAGTTCCAAAAAAAAACTCCTACACACCGCCTCCGGTTCTAAATAAAATGTATAGTTAACTAGTTTAAATAGATTAAAGAAATAAGTTAAGTTAGTTATTTATAATAAATAAGTGTTGTTTTTTCTAAAATATCCTTACTAATCAAGTTTATTGGCTAGAACCACCATTATTAGAATGACTATTTTGAAAAAAATAAATAAATATGAGAGACAAAATGGATTAAAGTCTTATATTTAGAACTAAAATAAAAATCAAACAATATCTTATATTAAAAACAGGAGATAGTATATGTTATAAACAGAAGGGAGTAAGCTTACTCCCTTTGGTTTTTATTAAAAGGCATCAATTAACAAGTGTTTTTTTATTCTCTTTATGAGGCATTTATTTAGTCTCAAGGAGCATTAAATATTTTTTTTAATCATGTATGCCCATATTTAATAAAGGTAGTAAGAGAATTAAAAATTAATACTATGATGTTAGAGTTTTTATAATTACTAATGGTAACGTTAGAAATCACTTAAATTTTATGATAAATTTATATTTTTTAATTATTTTTATTGAACTGTAATTGGTTTCTAAAACGAAAAATGACGTTCCACACCTAGCTATATGTGTGTGCGCCTCCTTTGCGTTGGCAAGACATATATTATATATATAGCGTCCTTTGTAAATCTGTCCTTTTTAAGCGTTACGTTTGGGCACTGATATTTTTTTTAATTAGGACACTGACAATTTTTGAACTCATCATATCTCAATATTATCCATTATTATATAGAAAATAATACTCCTCCGGTCTTTAATATAAGACCCATTTAACTAATTTGATTAGATTAAGGAAGTTAGGTAAGTTGGTTAATTATAATAAAAGTGACACATTTTTCCTAAAACACCATAATCATCTTTCTTAATACCCCATCTCCCTCTTCTATTTGATTATGGTTGAGGAAGTATCTATATGGGTAATTTAGAAAAAATTGATAAATATGATAAATGGGTTTTATATTTAGGAACAAAACCAACTCAATAATTGGGTTCTATATTAAGGACCAGAGGAGTACTACTTCGGGGATGGCACTACCAGTAACTTTTTGTTTCAATATTTACCAGTACAGCTGTGCTGGTATATGTTATGTATACTGATGGTTAGGGTTGTCCACGTACGTATGTATTCACGCATACAGATGTATCCCCACGTATTTTTCAGTTGCATTCATATATAACTATACTTTCGGCGACAACTTTAGAGTTCATTAATACTCCGAGTGGCTTATTCGCGATCAATGAGAGTTAGAAAGGGACTAAAGCCTCTTCCTCCCCCTCGATCTCTTCGTCTCTTTTCCTCCCATACGATACACTGTCTGTTTATGAAAATAGTTTGTCAACTCTCTGGTCATATTTATAATATTGAGATAAAATATTTTTTGTCTCTAATATAAATGATCTCACTGATTTATTATTTTATGAATTATTATTTCCATACAAAATTTATATACTACCTCCGGTCCTAATTATAAGAGCCAGTTAACTAATTTGAGGAGATTAAGAAAGTAAGTTGAGTTAGTTATTTGTCCTAAATAGGTGTTGTCTTTCCTAAAATATCCTTACTAATCAAGTATATTAACCAGAACTATAATTATTATAAGGATTATCTTGGAAAAAATTGAGTAAATATGAGAGACAAAGTGGATTAGGGTCTTATATTTAAGACCAAAATAAAAGTCAAACAGGGTCTTATGTTAAGGACCGGAGGTAATATTAAATAGACATACAGTTAAAAAGTTATTAAATATAAAGATGAAATTAAAAACATTTAACGTCTTCCTTGACTGCCTGGTTTAAAAAATATTTTTTTTTATTTTGATAACATTAGAAATGTTTTATAAATAGGATAAGAGGGTTATGTTGTCTTCTAAACATAAATTGATCCATATTGAACTAATTCACTCGAATACTTTTACATTTATATCAATTCATTATTATATACCTTTGAGTCAACGTGCAAGACTAAGTGGATGTTTGGATAAAAATTAAACTATAGTTTTAAAAGTGATTTTACAGTGTACGAAATAAATATGTGGAAGAATTTTTCATGATTTGTAGAAAAGTATTTTTAAAAAACAATTTTGAGAATATCCAAACATCTCCTAAAGCGGAGGGGAAAGACGAGAAGTAGAGTTTGCTGTGAGAGGGATCCATAAAAAGTAGGCTGAATCAAGCCACCGCAGCTAGCAAAAGAAGCTAGAAGTTGATGAATATCCTTAAGCAGAACGGCATGCTCTCTGGTAATCATTTGAACGAAGGACTACCTTATGGTTAAATATAAATATTTTAAAACAATTTATTTAACTTTTTTAATCTCTCCAAAATAATTAGCATACTTATGTTAATAATCAGAGGTAATATAGTGAAAAGTTATGGCTCAATTGCTCGAGTTTTAATTGAATTGCTACTTTAAAACATTGGAGTTGTTTTTCTTTTCTTTCCTCTCTCTTTTTTTTGTGTGTGTGGCTATAATAAAGTTTAAATGAGTTGGATCTTCAGACTTACTATGATTAGGACATGCTTCCAGGTTCAAAATGCATTTACAGAGATATTTACAAATCATCCATTAACAAAATCATCACATTAGTTTTAAGTTTCAAACTCACAACTTTAAAGGTTATGAGCCAATTTCTTATGAACTGAACCAATTCTTGTTGGTTCTCTCCTTTCTTTAATTAAAAAGATAATTGTGTGTGCTTTTATGGGCCCGTGGTCTGTATCATTGTATGGCTTCCGTGGGGAGAAGAGAGTGGGTGGAATACGTGGCTTCCTGAAAGTTCCATGCCGAAGAGTTAACAAACTAATTGACTGGGAAAAAACAGAATCTAACTACTACCCCCGAACAACCACAATTAATTTCAAATAACGCTAACACGTACAGCTTTTGAAAGAAACGTGTCTCAGTAATCAAAATCCTTTGAGCTCCCATTCCGTGCTCAAATTCTTTATATATCACGAGACTATTTAATTTCATATATTTAATTAGCGCTAGTACCTGTTGGCAAAAGAAGTTAGCCTTAGTACCTAACAGTCTAATACTAGTGATATAGCAAGGGGTCCGTTTAGTTGGAGGAAAGGGGAGGGCCCCTCGTTTGATTGGAAAAAACGGGGGGCCTTTCCTCCTATCCGGCCAAACAAGATGGCGGGGAGAGGGGGGCTCCTCCTTTAACTCTTCCAACCAAATTGGAACGCAGCGCAAAACTATACATTTGGCACAACAGCTGCATATTTACATTTTACTATCGTACGTGCATCCACTGCCAAATACTAGATGAGGTAATTAATATAAAATTAAATAACTAATACAAGAATATTAAAACAATTAGTTTAGGTATTTATAATAAATGAATGTTACCTTTTCTGAAATACTATTCTTAATAATGTGCATTGAAACTTGAAAGTATGCTTTGATAGAAATTTTTTAATATATGTGGTCACCATAAGAATTATTTATGGGCAAAATAAATAAATACTCAAAACTAAATGAATTGAGATCTTAGATATAAAATTAAATTGAATTTTTAGCTAACATTTATGTTAAGGATCGAAAGTAGTATAAGATATAGCTTATAATATAATTACTATTCACACTACAAACTATATATTATATTTAGGACAAGAGATAGTAATATAAATTGAATGCATCCATGTTCCTAATGAAGTAGATCAGAGTCAGTGTTATTCTTTTGTTCATAGGGATAGAATTAATAAAATTTTGATTGAATTGTAACTCGCCTTTAAATTTTAACTCGAAGCAACACAATTCTTTTTATTTGGATTCGCCGAAATAATAATAAAAATGAAATGGAAATGTTCCAAGTTCTATACTTCTATCTAAAGGAAAAAACAAAAAGACAGTTATTTCGTGGAAAAGAAATTTAAGAACGGGACCCCACGTTGATGTAAAGAAAACCAGCCCGGCCAGGGAAGCGCAATCTCCATCCTTTCTTTTACTCGCAGCTGGGATCCTTAACGTTGTTTTTTTTTCTTCTTCTTTTTTTTTTTTGCCTGAAAACGTTGGTTTATAAATAGCAAGAAGCCTTGCCTCCCTCATTCACCCACAGAAACATCCTTCTCCTCTATTTCTGCTATGGGCTCACTCGGCAACATCGAGAACATGCCTCTGAGCTCCAGGATCTCAACGGTGGTTCCGGCGACGCCACGGAGTGACCAAAACGGTGCGTACGAACTCCAGAACATGGATTTGCTCCTGAAGCTCCACTATATCAGATCAGCCTACTTCTTCAGCAACGATGCCGTCCAAGGTCTCTCTAACTACGACTTGAAGAAGGCCATGTTCTCTCTGCTTGATGCGTACTCCCATGTATCGGGTCGGATCAGGAGATCCGATACCGGACGGCCGTTCATCAAGTGCAACGACGCCGGTGTACGGGTCGCCGAGTCATACTGTGACAAGACCCTCGCCGAATGGATCGCCGACGTCAGATACTCCATAGACGGCCTCGTTCAAGACCACGTCCTTGGCCCTGATCTTGGCTTCTCTCCTCTTGTTTTCGTCCAGGTATATCTCTTCTTGATTTAATTTTTGGACTAAATATTTTTCTTCTTCTTGCTTGAATATAAAACTATTCATTTATCAATTCTGAAATATTGTCATTTCATTCATGTTTTGTTTGAAAGCAAATTCGGGCTATATGTGCTGATGCATGTAGATTTGTGGTTTTGGGTTGTTGATTAGTGTTCCTTTCTTCCCTTTAATTTGATTAATTAATTGTTTATTGTTTATGTGTGTTCAAAGTTCGCACTCCCCTTCTCCAGTAGGAAAAAAATTTAAGGTGTGAGTTATTATTAAAGAACCGATTTTTTTTATATCATTAAAGCACTGATTTTACGCACACACGGAAGGAGAAATTGAACTAATACGGCTTGCATGCCGCCTCACAGTTAATATATTATTTGCTATAATATTTTCTTAAACTCTTTTAATATATATTTCTACAGTAATTAAGAGCTTGTAATGTGAAATTCGTTTATATATATAGATTTGTATTTTTCTGACAAAAATGAAAATTTGTATTTTAAACTTGTACTTGGAAATTGGAATGGTTTAAAAAAAAAAGAGCTTTATAAATCTCAACAATTTAAGCATTTTTATCTGTATTGACTGGGAAAAAACTGATTAAGATGCCTCTGTATATTTTTTGAATAAATCGATCGACAGCAAAGGATTAACTGGCGCAAAATGTGCCCCGCTCTAGGTCAGAGTTCACAGTAATACTGAACATATTTTTAAATCAGCAATACAAACTGTTGGCCTGTCAGTAGTGCGTAAATGATAGAAATATTTTATTTCATTGCTAAAATATACTATACTTTTTCAGTTTTTCATGATTGGAGTTTTTCCCCGTTAAATATAGACAGGATGTGTTTTAATGTGTGATCCTCATAATCAGTGAGCTACGACAGAAGGAAATTAGGCCGGTTTGGTACGCCGAATAAGAAAATTAAAGTGAAAATGAAGATAGAAATACGTGTGTGTAAATAGAGATAGACGTCGATTTTTAAAAAAATATGTTTATTGTGTTCTTAAAATTTATGATAAGACTAATTAAGTTATATATATTTTCATTATTAAAATCCAAAACCCCTTGTTACTAAAATAAAAGAGAATTATAATGAGGTCCCAAATAAAAAAAACAATTAAAAAACAAGTCCCAAATGTTATTATTCTCACTATATAACTTGTCATTATAAGTTGTTGAAGTTGTGTTATTAAAACCTTTTGATAATTTTTTTTTTATGGGAATTGATTGTAATTTTTTTTTAAAATAAGCCTCAACTCTGCGACCCACCGTCGCCTTCTTGCCTTCGACCCATTCCTGAAAACAGCCGCAAGGCCCTCTGATGCACTGTGCTGCCTGTCTCCATACTTGATTTCTAACTGACGCTTCATATTTCCACCAGTCATTATTGCCGTCCTTTGATGCTTGAGGAATCTGAGGGAGGGATCGGAATTTAATGCCAGTTGTTGGTCCTACGGCTATCCTAGACATCTAATGCTATCGTTTTACTCCCTCGATTCCTTATTATAAGAGACATTTGATGTTTATAGCATGTTCTTATATATAAAAGACACTTAAAAGTTGTCTTTATCTTTTTGTGTTGATTTCCTATCTTACTCATATTTATTGTCTTCAACTCACACTCTCTCTCCTTCCCACTTCTTTTTCTTTTAATAATTTACCATTGTTCTCTATTATGTTCTCTCTCCTTATTAATGAGGGCATTTTTGAAAAAAAATATACTTTTTACACATTGATTGTTCTTAATTAATTTTAACTGTTTTTTTTATCAATATAATTCGGTTATTGGTCTCTTATAATAAGTAACGGAGGGAGTAACTTTTTAGATCGGATGACTTTTACGTACTTTTAGGACGGCTCCCAGATTTGAAATTTCGCATGGTGCATGAAATGCATGTGGTGTATCCTCCTCTCTACTTATTTTCGTGAAAAATATAGCAGATCGAACAAGGAAAAAATTTGCTAATTACCATGTGAGAATTATTTTTCTTTCAGTTCTATCTTCTATTTAACATCATGATTTAAATTTTAATTGCCTCCATTTGATGTCATCTATCTAATATAGGTAATTTGTCAAATAAATAATGATTATACCTTAAATTTTGGAACAACAAATATATTTAAGGACAAGATATAAATTTAAATTAAGATAAGTAAATAAGAAAAGAAAGGAAGTATATCCTACATTCCTATTTACACCTTGCAACGCAGGGCCATGTATCCAGAGCTGCCTAAGGCAATACTGGCTGGTAAGTTAATTATATACATTTTTCCATCAGAAAATATCACTCATACCTAAAATTGGAATATATGCTTGGGCTATTGTTGTAGCAGGAGTTGCAATATTATTCTCAGATATTGACTGATATGATGAAGTAAATCGCTTCATTATTATTCGGTATAAATGAAAAAACTGATGAATTAACGTTTTGCTACTGCCGTGACATAATTATCAGTTCACAAGGTTTCAATGCGGAGGATTGACCGTTGGCCTCAGCTGGCCACATGTTCTCGGAGATGCTTTCTCTGCTCTCAACTTCATCAATCTTTGGAGCAGGATAATGGCGGGTCACGTGCCTCCCAGGTCTCTTCCGGCGCCGACTCCTTTCAAACCCGAGCTTCCTCCTTCGGTCTCCGATAAGCCGATGTCGATGAAAAAGTCCGTTGACGTCGGAGAACACTGGCTAGTTGCAGATCACAGAAAAGTCGAAAACCACTCTTTCCGTGTCACCTCGAAACAACTCGATCATTTGGCAACAACAATAAATGCTTCTGCTCCTGCATCGTATTTTGAAATTCTCTCCGCCATCGTTTGGAAATCCCTCTGTCACGTAAGGGGTGATGCTTCTGGGTTAAATGCGGTGACGATCTGTACTAATGGATCTATACGGAAAGAAGATGAATCGCCGAGAAATGGGTTGGTGTTCAGCAAAGTGGAAGCCGATTTTGCGGTGGAGAAATCCGACGTGTCAGAATTGGCCATACTGATTGGTGAGAAGAAGGTGGTGGAGAATGATATCATGGAAAAGATGGTGGAAGAAGATGAAGGAAAAGGGGATTTCGTGGTTTACGGAGCGAACCTGACATTTGTCGATCTGGAAGGAGCTGAGTTTTATAACGTGAAACTGAATGGCCGGAAACCTGTTCTGGCGAACTGTACTTTTCACGGAGTGGGCGATGAGGGTGTCGTCTCAGTGCTTCCGGCGCCAGAGGGAGATGATAGCGCTGAAGGCGGTGGGGGTAATGGAAGAATTATCACCGTGGCTCTTCCGCCGAAAGAACTTGAACAGCTGAAGAATAAGCTGGAAAGAGAATGGGGTATTGTTTGAAGAATAATACAATAGAAGTGGTTATATTATAATGCATAGTTTATAAAATGTGTGTTTAATTATAGTTTCACAGGCTGGTGATGTTTGAGTTATTCTTTGAGGATAATGAATCCATTGCAAGATTTAACATAGATTGCAATGTATTCATTATCCCCAACGATTAACTCATTGGTAGGGGTACGTTAATTTATTGAAAACTAATAAAATTGAATAGGAATTAGGAATAGTTGTGAGTTATGCTTGAGAAAAATTGAAAAGGAAGATGCATTTCCCATGCGTGTGTAGCGGGCACTAGTTGTGGGTTTAATGTCATATGGACTTCTGGGGCGAGCCACTGGGGGCACATGTCAGGTGGTTTGGTTTGTTTGGTGGTTTATACTTCATATAGAATTGTCACGCTTCTAATTGTGCTTGTTTCGAGCTGTGATAATGTAACAGTGACATGCTCCCACCAGCGCCTTGTGTACATTTCATAATTTACACACTATTTCGCAGTTTTTGTTTATAATCATAGTTACCATATTCATATATCTCTCTGGTTCTTCATATATGACCAATTTAACTAATTTAATTAGATTGAGGAAGTTAGATAAGTTAGTTAATTATAAGAAATATGACATATTTTTCCCAAAATATTATGATCATCTTTCTTAATATCCTTCCTTCATCTTCTATTTGGTTATGGTCGAGGGAGTATCCACATGGGTAATTTAAAAAAAATCGATAAATATAATAAATATATCTTATATTTAGGACCAAAATCAACACAACAATTATATTATATATTAAGGATCAGAAGAATACTATATTAGAACAAAAATTAACATCTCGAAAAGTATGTTAACATGAATAGTCTGAATAAAAAGTTCCATTCTTAATTAATTCTTGATATCCGCAGGACATAAAAGAGAATGTAGCGGGTAGAGAGAGAGAGAGAGAGAGAGACGGTAAAATAATTAAATTTAGCATACTTTGTGATGCTACTCACGTATCCATCTATGCTTTTTTGTCACAGAAAACACGCTTTATAGATAGATGAACCTGTTTTCTGTCCTTGGAACGCTGGGGATAGACTAATTTTGTTTCTTGAAACTTTGAGGATAAACTAATTTCCTTCTCCGTATAGTAATTATTTTTCATTTATTCCGGTCGCTGCTCAATCAAATAGCTTAGTTCAGGCCTAAAAAGCAAAACCGTTTCAGTTTTACGTGACTAAATTGACTGGTTCTGACATTTACTCCTCCTTGATCAGCTTTCACCCAGCTGCAGTTTTCTAAAATTATAAGGATTTAGTGGATGTAAGAAGATAAAAAGAAATGAAATGAACCTGCGTAACTCGATTTTTGCCCCCGTTCTGGGTTAATTAAGTGACAGGATTGGCGGTCTCGTGACAGTCAACAATTAAAAATTTAGTTTTAGCTTAAACTTTATTATCATCCAAATAAAACATTTCTTGTTGCCTATAAAATAATAAAACCACATGTGTGAACATGGCAAGCGTCACATAGATTAGAAACATCCTAGATTTGCAAACGCGTAATTTCCAGCGCATACGCTGACAACAAAGTTAGTAATAAATCAACAAGCTTCCGGTCATCAAAACTGGGGTAAATTGTAGATCCAGCGTGTCATATCAAAATAAAAAGATAGATCATAAGAATTAAATAATTAATTTTTCAATTCAGGTAAAAAATTAATTTTTAATCAATTAACTGTCTTTTCTTAAAAAGGAAAATTATCCAGAGCACCATGCTCCGATCAAACGGAAAAAGGGTATGTGATGACTGAAGACGACTTATTAAAAGCTGTTCTTTTCTGCTGGCCAACAATCACCATAAAACAAAAGAAAAGTTGAAATGGTTTCGCGGGGAAGAACGTGGTCAATTTTAGAGGTCGTTGTCAACGTCGCGAGAAGCCTCCATTGCTTCGTCTTGTTGCTGTGCTAAACTGCTGTACACAACGATGACTTCGCGTTTTAACGAGACTGAAATAACAAGGGGCTTAAAACATTAACTGTAAAACTCTCGGGACTCGTGGGTCCTCTTCAGACACAACGGTTTCGGTCTTGATTGTTTCCTCCGCTTCCTCCTTCCCCCTCTTTCTCGCGCTGGAAATCCCTTCCTTCTCTTGGGCTCACCCGAGTTTTTTCATGCGGCCGTATAGAAAGAGGTGGTGGAGCAAGAGAGAGGGAAGCAGCGACAACTTTATCACCGGAGAGAGAGTTTAAATTGATTTCGAGCTTCATTTTGTGGTTTGACTTGATTATCTGTTGCTTAGTAACGATGGCTTCGAAATTTGATTTGGTGCGTACCATTGAATCGAAGCTGGGCATTTCTATCGGTGATTCGGTTTCGGATTTGTTGCTGGTGATCGTGACAACCTCGGTGGCTATCGTACTTGGGCTTTTGGTATTTGTATGGAAGAAATCGGGGGATCGGAGTAAGGTGGCGAAGCCGGTGGTGGTGCCAAAGTCTTTGTCGGTGAAGGATGAAGAAGATGAAGTTGACGTGGGCTTGGGGAAGGTTAAAGTTACTATCTTCTTTGGTACTCAGACTGGTACTGCCGAGGGATTTGCTAAGGTGAATCTGCTTGCGGTGTTTGGATGTTTTTAGCTTGCGTCTTACGTAAATTGGGAAGCATGTCATCAAATTGCTTCTAGATGTGGTTTTATGTGGTGTACTGATATTTCCTTTTGAAACTCTCTGCTGGCCATCCCGTCAAACAATAGTTTTATCAACTTCTGCTTTGTTGCTTCAATGCTTCGTTATAACTCATACGAATCGGATGCTGTGTTACTTACCTTGTGCTTGTTAAGACAACTTAGTTCGAGCGCAGGCCGCGTCCCTGCCTGCATTTTCGAAAGATACACTCAACCACGAAGATTTCGAGTCATTATCAAGCCTTGGCTTCTCTTAGCGCTTGTCGATTCGTCCTGGCCCTGGTAACGAATTTGGGAAGGAAGATCCGCATATAACTTCACACTTCCTGCTATGCTCCGAGTATTTTAAGCGTGCTATGCTAACGATATTAATAGCAAATCAAATTACTCTACGACAGCTCTATAACGGGAAGCGACCCTATGTGTTGGCATTATATTGCATCCCTTAGGAAATTAAAAGGAAAAGCACGGATGGGTGAGGAGGACGCTGGGAGCATTTAAAAAATAAGTCCTTATTACAACTATGTCTTCAAAGACAGCTAATTGAAAAATGTGTGAACTTTAGGTTGATGCGACTTTTGCACTTTACTGTATCTAAATAAGAATCTAATGCCCCGACTTTCTGAATGCTTGGATTGGTGATCTCATTTAAATAGGATCTCTGCTTTTCAGAGGGCAGTTTATCTTTAGCAATTATGTTCTACTGTTATATAACCAATGTACCTTCTTTTTTCTTTTTTGAATTTTACTATAGGCTTTGGCAGAGGAGATCAAGGCAAGATATGAGAAAGCCGCTGTAAAAGTTGTTGACCTGGTAAGTTGGATTAAAATTAAATTGTAGCACTTCATTTTGGTTGTAAATATGTGGGCCACATGAGGGAACTTCCAGAAAGTCTGTCAGGCTCCAAATAATGACATGCGGTATCATTCTCGGAGAACTTACTTTTGTAAAACATGGATTTGACTTAACTTTTTGATTTTTGATTTATTTATCTAAATCAGGATGACTATGCAGAAGATGATGATCAATATGAGGAAAAACTGACGAAAGAGACCCTTGCATTTTTCATGTTGGCCACGTAAGATCTATCTTCATAAAATTGTTCAAAACATGCTTGGAGTTCATAGTGCAGCTAACGTATTTGGACCTAACAATGCAGTTATGGAGATGGAGAGCCAACTGACAATGCTGCTAGATTCTACAAATGGTTTACTGAGGTTTGTATAGCTATTTCTAAGTTTTTTTTTTTTTTAAAAAAAAGATTTGTCTCTCATTTTAATGGCATTTTTATTTGCCTTACAGAGTTACAGTTTACATACAACAATTCTTATGTTTTGGCCTTTAATTTCAGGGAAAAGATGAGGGAAGCCTCTGGCTTCAACAACTCACCTATGGTGTTTTCGGACTAGGTAACCGGCAATATGAACATTTTAATAAGGTAAACCTTGTTTTTATCCTTTTTATTTTATACAACTGACATCATATTTGTCATCTGATGGTATTCTGTTGAAACAGATAGGTAAAGTCATTGATGAAAAACTTAGTGAACAAGGTATTTAACTTCATCATCCCTGTCGAATTGGTATATTGTCTCCTTTTATTTACGCCAACCCGTTCAAATGTTCTGATTATCTGATATGTATATATAAGATGAGTAGTTTTAGAGGGATTTTAATACTTTTCATGGATGTCTTCTAATATTATTTTTGTGTTTGCCATAGGTGCAAAGCGTCTTGTTCCAGTTGGGCTTGGTGATGATGATCAATCCATCGAGGATGACTTTGCTGCTTGGTAATATAATCTTCTATACTGTATTGTCATATAATCTAAATATGGATTTCTCATGCATTATCCAGTGTTTGAGGAAAAAGCTGCACTATTCATGTTTTATGAATAGTGCGATTTCCTGTAGATTTTATATTATATTGATATACTGATTGCGTTGCAACTACAATCGGAATGAAGTTGATGATTTACTTGGGGGGACATTAAAATCTTTTGAGATTTCAAATATTGTGATTTGGATTTGCCTTTGTAGGAAGGAATCTCTATGGCCTGAGTTGGACAAATTGCTTCGAGATGAGGATGATATGAATACGGTCTCTACTCCTTATACAGCTGCAATTCCTGAATATCGATTGGTGATTCATGATCCCAATATCACATCATGCCATCGCAACAACTTAAACCTAGCAAATGGGAATGGTGTGTTTGATCTTCACCATCCTTGCAGGTGCTTGGAGTTATTCATGTCGATCAGTGATTATTACTTATTATTGCTTATCAAACTGGACTAAAACAGAAATGCATCTTCTTCTTCTTCTTCTTTCCTTGAAGGGTTAGGGTAGCTGTTCAAGGAGAGCTACATAAACCTGAGTCTGACCGCTCTTGCATCCATCTAGAGTTTGATATATCCAGGACCGGCATGACGTAAGTTACGGTACATTTATCCTCATAGAGGACATCATAAGTCACTTATAATAATATTTTAATTTTATTATGGACATTTAAATAATTTCTCATGGTATGTTTCTAATGATTTTAATTTCTTTAATGCATTAGATGGTGGACTTTATCTGCTGGAGTGATATGCATGACTTGTTTCCTTCTGTAAAGAATTATTTGCCTTAGGTGTTGGTTGACCGCTTCATATATTGTTCTTGTTTATTTTATGTTTGCGCCAGTATGGGTGATGAGGTGATTTTTCTGGGTTTCAAATTTTTTATGCTTATATGCCATCAATAC